GGGGGGGGGGGGGGGGGGGGGGGGGGGGAGGGGGGGGGGGGGCAGGGGTGGTGGGAGCTTGGTGGGACAGGGCGGGGATGGGGGGACAGTGTAGGGACAGCGTGGAGATGGAGGGGACAGCGTGGGGATGGGGGGACAGTGCAGTGACAGAGTGGGACAGAGGGACATGGGGAGAATGGGGGGACATGGAGAGTATGGGGGAAAAAGTGTTTGTGTGGTGGGGCATTTTGGTATCCAGGGGTGGCGTGGGAGTTTGATGGGACAGCATAGGGATGGGGGAATAGCATGGGGATGGAGGGACAGTGTGGGGATGGAGGAACATTGGGGAATGGGGGGAGTGGAGGTAACAGTGCTTGTGTGGTGGAACGTTTTGGTATCCAGGAATGGTGTGAAAGTTTGATGGGAAGTTTGAGGTGGAAGGGACAGTGTGGGGACTGTGGGGATGGAGAGACAGCAAAAAGATAGAGGGGACAGTGTGGGGAAGGAGGGACAGTGTGGGATCGAGGAGACAGGGTGGGGATGCAGGTGACAGTGTGGGGATAGAGGTGACAGTGTAGGGATGGAGGGACAGTACAGGATCGAAGGGACGGTGTGGGGATGCAGGTGACAGTGCGGGATCGAGGGGACAGTGTGGGATGGAAGGGACAGCACAGGGAGGCAGGTGACAGTGTGGGATGGAGAGAGAGCAGGAGAATGCAGGAGACAGCGGGGCTGGAGGAGGGGACAGCGAGGAGATGCAGGGGGGCAGTGAGGGGATTACACAGAGCCGGAGCTGATTTCATCACCCACAGCATTACGGATTCGGATCACATTTCAGGCGGCCGAGGCAGGAGCAGCCCCAGCACTGACCCAGGGCAGAGCCTCCCCCCTGCCGGTGCACAGGGCTGGGACCCCTGGGTATGACCACCCACCACACACCAGGGGCTGGGACCCCTGGGTATGACCACCCACCACACACCAGGGGCTGGGACCCCCAGGCAGGACCCCCACCACACACCAGGGGCTGGGACCCCCAGGCAGGACCCCCACCACACACCAGCCCTGGGATGGCAGCACGGGCTCCCTGCAGCTCCCTGTGGGGCAGGAATCACCCCAAACTGGCCTGTTTTACCCCTGCCTTGCAGGGAGGCTGCTGCCACCCTCTTGGCAAATCACCCTGGTATTGCAAAGGGGTCTAGAGAGACCCTCCGGGGACTCCCCTTCTTCCCAACCATCCCTCCTTGGAGCAGCCCTGCATCTCAATACTGGGGCAGCTCCTGCTCTGCAAGGAGCAGGAGCCCTCCCTCCCCTGGCAGGGCTCCCCATGGTCAGTGTGTGCACCCCAGGGTAATCCTCCTCTGAGTCCAAGGGATTCTTTTATAGGGAAAATAAGTCATAGCATCACAGAATGGTTTGGGTTGGAAGGGACCTTAAAACTCACCCCATCCCACGCCCTCCCATGGGCAGGGACACCTTCCACTAGCCCAGGTTGCTCCAAGACTCCTCCAACCTGGCCTTGGACACTTCCAGGGATCCAGGGGCAGCCACAGCTTCTCTGGGCAACCTGTGCCAGGGCCTCCCCACCCTCACAGGGAACAATTTCTTCCCAATGGCCCCTCACCCACCACTCTTTTGCATGGTTACTAAATGCAGGAGCTTCTCCCCTAAATGAGGTTGGTTGGGTTCTCCCTGGAATCCAGACACCTGTTTGTGTTCGTTAAGCTGGGTTTTATAAACTGCACGGATAACAACAAGCTTCAAAGGAGGAGAGCCAGCAAGTGGCCACTGAGGAAGCTGGAGGTGGACACAAGGGTGAAGGTACCCTCAGCTGCTGCTGAGAGCAAAGGCTGTGTTTTAACCTGTTCACCAGAGCCCAGCAAGGACTGTTTGATTTACACAGATGGGTCACTCACCTGTTTTATTTCCTTGAAGACTCCACAGAAGTCGTGCTGAAGACATGAACACTCGTGGCCTCTCCCTCCCCTGGGCAGCAGCACTGGCTGAAGCAGCAGCAGCTCCACATTTGTGGTTCAGCATCATCTGAAACACAGCCTTCAATCCCCAGGGTGGGCTGATACTTGAGAGATGCTGAGCCAACCTCGTGTCCTCCCCAAAGTGCCATGAAAGGGGCAGCTCTGGGGCTGTGGTGGCAGCAGGAGGAGACGCCTGTGTTCGAGCAGCAAAACACCCAGCGGGTGTGGGGGGCACCCTAGAGGTGGGAACACCCCTGCCCACCAGCTTGGTTCAGACTTGGCGAACAGAACGGAAAAAATGACCCAAGCGGGGTTTATCCATCACCCAGAGCGGCCACTTCTACGGGCAACCACCCACACGGGCTGGGCACGGCTGTGAGGGCACTCAGGGCTCCCAGTGGGACCTGCCCTCGCCCTGGCTATGGCAGAGGGGGCTGAGGGAGCTGAAGGGACTCAGGGCTCGCAGTGGGACCTGCCCTCGCCCTGGCCATGGCTGAGGGGACTCAGGGCTCCCAGTGGGATCTGCCCCCGCCCTGGCTATGGCTGAGGGGGCTGAGGGAGCTGAAGGGACTCAGGGCTCCCAGTGGGACCTGCCCTCGCCCCAGCAATGGCAGGGGGGACTCAGGGCTCCCAGTGGGACCTGCTCTCGCCCCAGCAATGGCTGAGGGGGCTGAGGGTTCCCAAGCGGGACTCTGCCCTGGCCCTGGCTATGGCTGAGGGCTCCCAACAGGGCACAGACAGACCCTGCCCTCGCCGCGGCCTCTCTCGGCCGCCCGCGGCTCTCCAGGGCCGGGCCCTCAGGCCGCCATCGCGGTCCTCGTGTGGGGACCACGAAATGCCGGCCGCGACCCCATGGTGGCCGCGCTCCCGGCCCCGACCCGCCCCGGCGGAACGTTGTGTGCGCGGAACGCGCGGGCGCGGGGCGCGGTTTCCTCGCCGGGCCGGCCCCGCCGCCATGGCCGCCGTGCCGGCGGAGCTGAGGCGGCCTCAGGAGCGGCCGGAGCGGGCGGGGGGCGCGAAGCGGCCGCGGCGGGAGGAGCGGCCCCGGGAGGAGCGGCCCCGGGAGGAGCCCCCGGCCGAGCCCGGGTACCTGGCGCTGGCCCGCGGGCTGCTGGCCGGCGGCGCCCCGGCCCTGCGCGGCCCCGCGCCCGCCCGCCCCGCCGGGGAGCCCGCGGGGGACGGAGCCGGCGATGGCGACGATCTGCTGGGGCAGCTCATCCGAGACCTGGTAGGGCCGTGCGGGGCCGGGGGTCCTGCCCCGGGCACAGGGGCGGGCAGGGGGAGGAGGGGCCGTGCTGGGGCCCGTTCCCGGAGCGCAGAGAGCGGCTCGGCTGTGCCCGGCCCGGGAAGGGGATGCCGCTTTTGGGTTCCTCTCTGCTTGTTAAAACCTCAGCTTCCGAGCGTATCCCACTTACAAACCTCCAAAATCTGCTTATCCCATGTCGTCCTTGTGCGGCCCTTCCACCTCAGGGTATTCCGTGACTCTTTAATGGCCCAGGGTGGGATTCTCGCCTCGTCCCCTGCAGGGCCGGGAGTTGGGCTCCGTGATCCCCTTCCAACTCTGGATATCCCATGGCTCTATAAATAGTATTTTATTTTTGCTCTTAAAAACCTCAGAAGAAGGGAAAGGGAGCTGTTTCTGCTGGAAAATTGCGGATAAGGAGGGCTCTTTGGTGCCCGTGCAGTAATTAGGGATATCCCGCCTTGTGACACGGCAGCGTAATAAGAAAACAAGCTTTAATTCTTTAAATAAAGGAGTTAATTTGGAAATAGTCTTAAATACAGCTCTGAACCAGATAAAAGTTATTTTGGTAAATCCTCTGAATGCCATAGAGGTTTTTATTTACAGCGCAGGAAAACTAGGGGGGAAACCCATTTTCTTGTTTCTCGCTCACCTCCCTGTGACTAATTACTCTTTGCTTAAAAAAAATTAAAAGGAGCAGATTAAATTTCTGTCTGCAAGGCACAAATTAATCCATTTACAGAATTAGTGCTCCATTAGCACACAGGAGCCCGCATCTGTCTCAGAGGGGATGGTTGTATTTGAGTTCTGGATTCATTCCAGTAGACTTTTAGACAGGCTGGTGCTGACTTAACATCCCTGCTTCCTTGTGCTCAGGACAAGCTGCTGGGGTTTTTGGGAGGTGGGAAGACCTTGATCTGCCTCTTATTTTAGGATGGCATTAGAATGGAATCAGTAGGAGCTTGTGCTCTGTCGGTGTCTCAGTTGTTTGCCCTCAGAAAGTGAGGAAGATCCCAAATCGGGATCATCTCCTGCCTCTCCCTGGTACCTTTGTGTCTTTGTAGGTCTCTTCTACAATTACTTCTCGTTTAATGGACCCTTTGCAGTACAAATGTAGAAGAAAAAGGGGCAATTCTGGGTTTATTGGAAGGAAGGTATAAATTATATTACAGATTGATTTAAAAAAAATCATCTCTCTATCTGTTTTTTTCTGATTTTCCCCACCTTTTCTTGAGAGCCCCAGAGGTCTTGCCTGTTGTGTCTGCAGTCAGTCAGTCCTGATGACACCTCTGTCCGTCCAGACAGAGCAGGATCTGCTGGTTGGAAGTGAGTCAGCTCCAATTTGGAAGCAGCATATCCATAGTGGTGCCGTGCCTGAGCTCATGAGCCTGGAGCTTAACAATCCTTGCCCAGTGGCTCCTCTGATTTGTTTGGGCAGCTCCGGGATGGCTCCTGGATCCGGGTGGATTCACATCTGGCCAGCTTGGAGCCTTGTCTGCGTGTTCCCTTTGTGTTTTGCCTTTGGTGTCCCCTCTGGAAACGGATGGGATTTAAATCACAGCAGGGCAAACAATCTCCACAGCGGGGAGTGGAGCCAGCGATCCTCGTGCAGGGGGAAAGGAAGGGAAAGGGAGCTGTTTGGGCAGGAAAATTGTCCTGGTTTAAGTAACTTTAGAGCTAGTGTGAGGCTCCAGTCTGCATAAATCGGTGTTTTGCTGCTAAAAAGACCTAATGGGAACGTTGCCCGTGTTTGTGTTGTGTAAACACCGACTTGCTGTAGAATATCTTTTGCATTAAAAACCTCCCCACAACCACATTGCACTGTGATTTCCCCGAGTAACTCTGCTTTAAATAAACCCAGGATTGCCTTGGTTTTTCTACTTTGGTCCTGAAAAAGGTCCAGGTTTAAAGGAGAGGGTGTAGTTCTAGAAGAGACCTACCAAAACAA